TGTAAGTGCTTATTTGCTATGCTGCATATAATAATAGTCGACTAAGCCGACTAAGTTTAATTAAAATTATCGACTCGACTAAGCTTATAAAAATTTTATCGACTACAAACACTAGTCCGTTTTGATGCTTTCCTTACGAATTATTACTTGAAGAAACCTGCAATTGGTGCTTGGATATGTCGAATAGTTGCTAATGTTATTATCATAACCATACGAACAGAATTATATCAAGCAATGAAACAGACTTGGGTTTTATGAATACAGATAGACTCATCATATCTTTTAGCTGGATCAATATGTGCAATTTGGTATAGAAAAATAGTTCGCCTTTGATTGTTGCCATTGAGCTTATAAGAGAATATTCTGACCGATAAATCAAATAATTGTAATATACCTACGCCTATAAGACCGAGTTTTGTTCAATTATTTATTAGTAAATTACTGAGTCGACATCAGTTTTTAACTTTAGATGTTATTTCTTAGTTCTCTCGAAGCTTTGTACATTGCCTCATCCAGCTGAAAAAGTTTTTGGATTACCTCGCGATTATGACATGATTTTAGAAAGAAAACAACTTGATGGTTTGCTCGATGCAATGATACTCTTTTGTAAAGGCAGTTTTTGTGGGCAGATAAAGAGTCAGATGCAATTGATAAGGGGAATTTTATATTGGATGCGGTGATGTTGGCAACAATTACTTTAGCATAGTTCTATTTTAAATGCATTGAAAGATCTTTTATGAATTTAGCTAATTATATTGCGAAGAGATAGTTAAGTAAAGCCTGATCCTAAAAATTAATTTATTTCATGAAATAATAAATTTGCTAATTTTATCGAGCTTAAAAATTTGACCTATTATTGATAATTTCTTCTAACCAACCAATCTTTATGATTATATATTGACTTTTTAACTTTTAAGTACTTGTAGTATTAGTATTACTTTAAATTTTATTTTATTATAATCCTACTTGCTTAAATAATTACAGTTTGCCACGGTTGTTGCTTATTTATCAAAGTCCTCCTTCCTAGGTTCTACCGCAAAATTCCGACGTCCAAAATCGACAGGCCATAATACTGACATCACGATTAAAAATTTAAGTTTACAATGATTGTTAACGTGATTACTAATCTTTAAATCTTAATTGTCACGTCGGGATTATGGTTGAGATTTTGGATGTCGGGATTTTGTGTAGAACCCACCTTCCCAAAATGCTATTTCTCCGACTCCATAATCCCGACGTCCCTTTTTCCACAAGACCCATTTCAATCCGGTCATTTTACTAATATTTATTTTACTGACAGTTTATTTCACCGACAGTCATTTTACAGACAGTCATTTCATCGACAGTCATTTCACCGATTACGGTCATTGTTGTTAGGGTCAGGATTAGAATTAGAGTTAAGGTTAGCGCAAGTTTTAAAAAGGAACTTGTCGGTGGGAATGATTGTCGGTGAATTGATTGTCGGTGAAATGATTGTCGATGAATTGAAATGATTGTCGTTGAAATGACATTGTAAAATAGATTTTCGATATTACAGTATTACGGAAAATTGACTTCGAGAAATTTGCTCGTAACCGTTTGCCACTGAATACAGTGCCCGGGTCTTATTCAAAAACTTCATTTTTAAAGCTTAGATGAACTTTGGACAATTGGACAAAAAAGGGCATCAAAGATTGGGATGTGTAACATCGGTCTAATTACAAACATAGTGCAGATTATATAAATGATCATTAATCGAGATTTTTTTATAGATCAGCGTTAATTTAATAGTAAATACATAGAAAGTTCAAGCTGCAGTAACTCTTGAACCAGCAAACTCACAAGTAAATTTATATTTTTCGGGTTCGTTATAACGTGCTCTTTTTAACGTAATAACGCTCTTTTTTTTTATTATTATTATTTATTTATATTGCCTGGAGAGAATAAAATAATGCCAAAATTCTCGTTTTTGATGTATTAGGCCACATAAATTTATATAATTGGTTTTCATATCCCGCCCGCGTCAACAAAGTGAGGATTGGAAATTTTTTTTTTAATATAGTCAACCAATAAAAATTCTCCATTCGATAATCATCTAACAAAGCAGATATACATCATAGGA